TGAATTTGTATGCACATTTCATATTGAGTAAATATTCAGACGGTGATAAATTTTCGTGTTTAATAAAAATATATTTTTATAATTAATATCTTCAAGTACGACTGTACACTCTGTACGCCCTAAAATATGAATAAATGAATAAAAAAAATATGGAACATTTTTTACTTATCTTGAACAATTTTACCTGTTTTATTTATTTTAAATAATATTTTTTTAACTACCTAATTATTATTATTTATATTATTTTAATAGCAATTTTTATTGTTTCAAGTAAACAATTATCAATAGTGTACGTACAATGTACATTTTGTAAGTAAGTATTTATTTATTTATTTATGAAAATGGAAATTTATTTGTATTTAGACAAAATTAAAAAGCAGTAAAAAAAAATCAAAAATTGTATCGGAGGGAGATTTCCACCGAAATYGGTCGGGATATAGTGTCTGTGATTCGAATGATGCTTGTTTTATTATCAGTTACTAAAGTTATGGAACATGCGTTTGTATAATACCCTCTTACAAAAGCGATTGAGACTAAATTTGGAAAAATTCTGTCGTTAACAATGGTTTTATTTGATTTAGAGATGGAATAATATTGAGAGAAAAACATTAAAAATGTCTACTTTCACTTAACATATCGTCATTAATAACCCAGTAAACAACAATATACATAAAAAGATGAGTCAGCTTCTCAGAACTACTCAGTACTGATTGCACATGATAAGATCTATTAGGATGAATATAAATTAATTAGTCACACGTGAACTCGTTTGTACTTTAGTGCTAACATAGGTTATTTTGAAAATAATTAATCGCTACATTTTTGTTCTTTTCTAATGATATATGAATACTATAGTTATGTATAAATTATAAAAAAAAATGTATTGAGACATACTAATTTTAAAATCAAACGCAGACAAAATTGACAAATTAGCATAAATTAGATACCTAATTAATGTAACAATTATAAAAAAGTAAAATAACCTCGATTCTACTTTTGAAAAATATAATTATTATCTCAATATTTAAATTTCAAAATGCTCTTAAGTATCATAATGTCTTAATAGGACAGCGCAATATTTGTAGAATCTCTTAATCCCACGTGCAACATAATATTAAGACATTATGATTAGATTGTTTTTCATGACATTTGAAGGATCAATCAATAAAATCACTGATTGCAAAATTTATAGAGCAGAATATTTTAGAAGGTATCAACTTTATATTTTATTACCTATTTCGTTGACTTTTAAAATAAAAATAAAGGTTGTTAATTTGAATAGATATTTAATTTTTTGATACAATATTAAAACAAATCAACAATGACTTCAAAGGTATTATATTCTTTAGTTTATATGATTTTGCGTGAATGCCGAGGTGAATGCGTTTTGTTTATGTTCCGCGTGGGACAGTGAGATCATATTATTATAAGCAATGCGCTAGAGGCTAGACAATACACATTACAGTTTTACACAAACATTTTCTGTCACTGTCTTACAAGTGTGTAACATAGCAAACTTACGCAAAGCAGATCAAGTTTAGTTCCGTAAGTCTAAAAATTGGAGCGAATCGACTTATCATGAAACTTGGTGGTAAGAATATTATCTGTGTTTTTTGGCGGGTTTTTTTTTACGATAATTAAGTTTTTAAGAGAGTTACGAACATTTTAAATTTACGAATTATTACGATATATTATACATGCAAAACTTGGTATCAAACCTAACTATCGTAAAAAAGCACACATACAAACACAGCTAGTGTTCTTACAATTATCCGGCCTTTATTAGGCCGATTCACTGCTATTTTTAAACTAACGATAACGGAGCTAAACGTGGTCAGCTAACTGCTAAGCGAAAAGTGAGCACTTGAGAAATGGAGACATCAAATGTCTGTGCAATGTCCTCTTATAAATTATACATTTGCTTAGATATGAATACGTAAAATTAAAGGTTTAGGTGGTTAAAGTGAATAAAGTAATACCTAAGTAAAATCTTAACTGATATGTCAAATGTGTACTCTCAAATACACAAATCAAAAAAAAAAAAAGCTAATAAATAAACCAATGAACAATTTTAACTGCAGGTCCGTTTTTAGTGATAACTCAAGCTCTTGCTCATAGAACGGATATAAAGGTTGATAGGTAGGTACTCCACCTAATTTTGATCACAAATGCTTTATTAGTTATTCAACATTTATAAATAGAAATTTAAATCATCTGACATAATACAAGTTAAAGTGTAAAGTACCTACATACATTAGGGCATTAGGCAATATATTTCAATTTCCTCTAAAATAAAATATTAAGTTTTGACTCACAAATACTATCTAAGTGCAAAACATCAGATGAAATAATCATTCACTAACAATTGAAGTGGAAGTCAAAACTTATGAATCTAAATGTATGAAAACTTGACCAACAGGAAACAACAAAAAGAGCAAAGAAATAAAAATACAATAAAGAGTTTTTTTAGTGAAAAGTTTATTTCTGAATGTCAAACTGAATGTTTATTATCTGAATTTGTAAACATGTAAATATTTTTCAAACAATATACAATTAATTCTGAATAGTAGAAATTAGATGGCCAGTCAGGGAACATATGGTTAATGTTAATGGAGAATAGATAGACTATCAGATTATACAAATTTTATTAGGTACTTGTATAGGTGTATATCAAATCACTTAATCAACAATACCATTGATTAAAAAATGTTATAAATTATAAATAAATATAGGTAATATTATAAATACTATGCAATGTTATAATCAGTTAACAACTATTACATTTTATAACTATTTGTCTATGCACCTATTGTGAATTATGTGAATACAGTTTACATGACAATTTGTATAGCTTGTTACAAAGTAATAATAGACATTAAACCAATATCGAATTAATAGGTATAGGTACAGACTTATAAGTTAAAATTGTAATTATTATTTTTATTTTATTCTAACAGATTAGATTCAACAGTAAATTATGCATAGKTACATAAATACTAAATTAATTATCTGATTTGGAAATAAATTACTACAAGCCTAGTATGACACTGAATCGTTATAAATGTAACTGAAACAATGATGACTATTAATGTAAATGACTGTTATCAATTTTATGTTTCACAAATCAATATAAACATTTTAAAATTAATTCCAGCTAAGCAGGTTGGTACTTATATCACTATTTATTTTTTTCGGTTTTAAACCAATTACGCCATAGAAACTAGTTTTCTATTACTGCCCAGATGCGGCAATCATTTGTTGATGATAATTATAATATGTAAGTACTTACATTACATTTTGTTGATATCATAACATAAACTATGACCCACTATGACCTTTTGGCCGTTCTTTAAGCATTTAGTGTTAAACATTTCAATTAATAATACATTAATATTAATAAGCTTACAAATTATACTAAGTTTATACCTAAATTAATTTATTGTACAAACCAACTATCAACTATTTATTTATTATATCAATGGATAAAATGGATTTTCAACTTTTTTTATAACATTTTGTAACAAGGTAACATTGTCTGTGTGGTAAATAAAGAAATAAAGGGATGTCTCCTCATATTTGAATCATATTAAAAGATGATAGGTAGTTAATTAAACCTATAATATATATAAGTAAATATAACTACTTATCTTTCTATAATTCATTTTGTATTTAAAAATATGAAATTATATTAATCAATATTAAAGTAAAATTAGTAAATATTAGTAAATTAGTTTTTTAACTACCAATTATTAAATGTTTTTAATACCTATTTTAAACATTAAGGTAGATTATACTCATTATTGTTAATATCTCGGTTAATATAATGCATAAAATAGACTAGGTACCTATTGTAGTCATAATTGGTATTTATCTGTGTTGTGAATATTTTAATATTAGATCCACAAGTGATATGATTTTAAACCCAATATTAAATAATAACAGGAAAATGTAAGTAAATATTAAATTTCACAATTAATAATAATGTGGTGATTTTAAAGTTATTGCGTACAATGTCAGTATTATTAATGAAGATAAATATTTGAACATTTCATTAGCGATATAATTTATTCGTAATTTAGGTACAGTCTTGAAAGCAAGACAATTAATAGGTCATAAGATTTCTAGAGTAGTATTCAGTAAAATACAGTTATACCTACTACTAACCTACACTTAAACAATGTAAAACTATCTTAGTACAGAGTTTTAAATTCATCAAATCATCATCTTTATACGCTGATTAAATAAATACTACAAATCACTGTATAGGTACATTTTTAAATTTAGAAAAGCTATGTGAGTTTATAATAATCATCTAATGTAAAAAAGCGGATAAATTAATGTTCAGATGCCTACATGCATAACAAACAATAATAAATACAATTAATATTGAACTAATTTCAATAAGAAAAAGAGAGTGGCTACCTAAATAAGTAATAATACTGATAGTGACCGTATCGGACTATTCGGTTGTATCAATTTATCATTAAACGAGGAATAGACTTTGGGCTTTCAATAATGATCATTCAACAAAATGAGATTAAAATGCATCAATATGATCCACGACATTGGCCACGATGTCTAATTCTAATTATTAAAATAATATGGACAATAATATAGTTAACGATAAACGAATAAGTGGTGTTTTCGCACATCCTTATACACACCTACTCGAACGCTCCAAAATATTATTATTATTTTAAAGTGAAACCTATTGTGGGCGACAACGGTGGTGAGAGCCATTGTACGCTGGAGAGATGGGTAGGCTGGATCGTACATATGGTGCGCCACCACAGTGCCCCCGACAACCAGGACACCATCTGGGAGTCCCGTTAGGGGATTAAGGACCCGAACGGTCACAATGCAAAACCGTCGGCGGGCTAAGCGCACGTACACGCACAAACACACAATACGCGCCTCAGGCAAGCAGCTGCGCGTACGTAGGGCCCCCGAAAATTGGGCAACAAACAAAAACCTGGTAGAGAACTCTCAAACAAACTCACCTCCGATGAAGACGAAACGCGGAGACACCACCGCAGCTCGGAGGACGACGCTCCCGACGGTTCACCAACCGTAATTGGAACAGACTAATCCGCACGTACAACACATCGCGCGCGTCGCCGCGGTCGGTCGGGCCTAGTGGAAAAAACGCACCGCGCGCACACACTCACACTGACACACACACACACGCGCGCGCACAAACGAGTAACTCAACCGACGACGCGATCTCACACACACACACGTCTACGATTATTGTAGAAATTAAGTACTACAACGCGGGCCGGTAAATCGGGCGAGAAGTTAATCAGCGGAAAAAAAATCCGCACACGCACGCCCACTACGCTAGCGGACCGGACCACTCGAAGACGAGACGAGTCGCGAGAGGGCCGAACGAGATCGTCACAAGACGACGACGAGTGAATGAACGACGACTGACGAAGTGACGACGGTGTCAGCAAGTCCGGACGGTGTGTATGCGACTCTGCCGAGTTGACGAGTGCCGAGTGGAGAGAGATCGGCGTGCGGCGTACGGGCGGCGACGGCGGCAGTGCGTACGGTCTCCCGCCCTCCGGCCCAGTGCTGCCATCCGACGGCCGTGCCGCACACTAAGTGTGCCAAAGACTGACGATAATCGTGCGCCCGTTACGAACCACTACGCCACGCCGCGGCCGTACGCGACGAACGATGGTACACACTACCGTCTCTACCGAACAATATTGTACCGTACAGGGTACAGCACCCCAAGACGACGACGATCCGGCGATTGGTACATCCAGATGGTTACTATAGTCTATAAGTTTAGACAGTGCAGTGGTATTGTGACCGGTGTTTACCAGATGCAATTGTACCCTAGAAATGCTTTATAACTATGTGATTTACATATATTTATATATATATAGGTGTATGCTAATTGTTTACTAAAAAGTGAACAAAATAATGTGATAGGGTTTGACATTTTGTCACCACTCCACTGAATAAGTATAACTATTATATTTTACGTTTGTGTTTAAAATTTGAATACAGTGTAATATATTGAAATTAAATGATTTTATTTTTCATAAACGTATCTAAACTCTAATGTAAAGTAAGTAGAATAAGTAGATACAGAAAAGAAAGATAAAACATTAGCAGGAAAAAATTTTTTGTTTTTTTTTTACATCGATGTGTTTAGTGTAGACATTTAAAAATATCGTTGTTTCCCTTTTTAGTCAACGGTCTAAAACAATAATCAATGTTTTAATACTTATTCAGTTTTACTCCTTTCTAAGATGACCTCCTCGGATTGTTAGTCAGTGATGACGTCACCACATCGTTGCGACCGACCAACGCTGCGGGAGATCAGCAGTAGTAAAAAGGCCGTAGATAATAGGTACGATTTAAACCGCACCACCGTCAATACCGGTCAAAAACTGAGGAATTTACTATGCAGCACCTATCTAAATAAACATACTTCAGGCATACAGTGTAATACCTACCTAYGACCTACCTGCTATACCATGTCCAAAGATATATCTTCACACAACGTTATTGTACATAACTTACGCCGAAATTACCTAAATCGAGGGTGGTAAAGGACGAGGGAGCATACTACTACGTGTATAGAATTCGTTTATCGTCGTGCCCGTCGTGGTATTTTAGATGGAACGTCGATTTTACATTGGTATCTGCAGGATTAAAGATATATATATTATATATATACAATAAACATTTGTATTGTATACGTATACATAATATATATATATATATATAATAAATATCGAAGACCACGAATATATATATATAGTAGTAGTATGCAATAAACATTTGTATTGTATACGTATACATAATATATATATATATATATAATAAATATCGAAGACCACGAATATATATATATAGTCGACATTTTTGGCGTCAAACGTGTGAACGCTTCGTTTTTCACGCCAAACGTAATGCGGTTACATGTCATCCGCCGAGTTCAGGAACCCTATACCCAATCTCAGTGTTTGCTGCTATAATATTATACAATATTATATATCATAATATTTATAATACCAGGCTACAGATCTGTTATACACCGTGATTACATTCTACCTATATTGTATTTAGAATCCATTTGCGTAATCTCCGAGTTGTCAAAATATTTTAGATTACCCACTAGTATAATTTTTCTTCGCCGTTCTCCTGCAGTAGCRTTTTTTAAATAAGGGTGTATAGTTGTATTATAGCACGATAGTTATCAGTACGTTTTTTCAAAATGAAACCACGGGCATGATGGCTATCTACCTCGCGTTCATCGATCGTATTTAGTCCGATGTCTAGAGAGCTCTTCATTTAAGTATAGASTACCGGTACACATACTTAATAATGAAATAGGTACCAATCTTTAAAATTGGTAATTTTAAGTACGGGTACCAAAACCATAAAAATATAATATAATATTGGYAAGTGGTAAGTCACGATCCTCATGAAGAAATAATTGAGTATTTTTCCTTGAACATAAAACGAGTGGTATAGTAGACAGATCTGTATTAATATATTATTTACTGTCTGAGTATAATCTAAAAGCTTTCAAGCAACCGAMAATTTTTAGTTTTACTGCTGCCAAAGCATAACGAAATTATCTAAACAAATAATACGAAGCGACGATAAAGCACAATAGTAGGTATATATAGGTACCTCGGCACTTMATATTTGTATAAAATGTAATACAAACATAGTATGTAATAGTACATTACTAAAAGAGCTTATGTGGATTATTTTATAACATATAATCGTTTTACCTGAATTATTTTCAAACGTATATACGCAAACAAATACCTACGAAACACACGTCACAACATATTGTTATGAATTCACTATAAATTTCAAATAACAGTCGTTGAATCGTATAACACAGGCGTATAAAAGTCTGGAAATGTGTATTTATTTTCGAAAAAACCTGTGAATTACATTATAATAATATATAGATTACAATTTGTGTACGTCACAAATCAYAAGTACCAAAACAACCCAAATTGAAGGATCCGCGTGATCAAATGAGAGTTTATGCACTTTGTTTGATGAGCAGATTGAAGTGCCAAATACATTGGTGCGTTTGTCAATCTAAATTGACAATATTATTGATCATGGATGAAGCGTATATGGTACTTTTACATTATACATTGGCGCCCATTCCAGCGGTAATCCAATATGAGGAAATGGGTTCGTAGGATAGGAGATGAGTGATGGTAATGAGATCATGAGACTCGCTATACGTACATAATATATAAGATGTCAAAACTGGTCTAKCAGGAATATCGTCGGAGTGCACATCTCTTTCCTATAGTCAAGGGCGCGTAATATTAGTTATGTTATCGTCAGTAACAACAAATTTAAAACTAAGAATAATTGTTAATGTGCCACCCCTCGCACTTCTATAATAGATGAGTGGAAAGCGCCTTATTACTAATACCTATATCTATTTAATACTTGAGGTCACGGACGGCTACGCCAAACTGCAGTTTAATCGAAAATCGGACAGTGTGATGAAAATAACAGACATGAACACAGAAAAAACCACCATTTTCTCTCAAGGCTAATCAACGACAACGTCGTACCCAGTCACAGGAGTATATTGTATATCACAATACTGTATTTATATGAACTTTCTAAGTTAGCTGAGTTTACCGCAGCATGGAAGTCGGAAAAGTGAAAACCACTGCAGGATTTTGTGTTTAGAACTTCATATTGTATTATTTAATATTTTCACTGGCGGATACAGATTAGCGTTCGTCCAAAAAGTTGACGCAAAAACATGTATACGAATCATTAATTATTTGATGGTATCAGATTCAGAAAACCTATAATATGACGTATATAATATATATATATATTATATACGGATGAGTCATGACTCGTTAAATACCAAAGAATTTGATATTTTTTCAAGTTTTATATCTATATACAAAATACATAGCGGTATATTATTATTATTTTTTATTCGTATGACTTTAAATTGAGCAATAACATATTTAGCACATAAATTTCCTAGTTAGATGTCTGACTGGTTAAAGCAAAACAAAACAAATATCACAGTCAGTATCACATTAAATTAAATTAAGTTAAAAAACAAAAACATGACTTTAAATATCTATGTCCAAATGATCTAGCCTGGCCACTGTCTCAGGGGTCACTTTGACGAAGTAATCCAGGTCACCATCGTATTTTCTTAGTTGGCAATCCATAATTAGGTGTTGCATTGACTGTATGGTTGCACCACAGTCGCATTCCGGGCTGTCTCTAAATTTCCATTTATGCATGCGTTCATTGCATCTACCTTGTCCCGTGTGTATTCTATTAAGTCTAACCCAGGTTTTTCTTGGGAGGTCCATGCCTGAAACTGGAGTGCGTACGTTATCTATTTGAATTCCTCCGGGCCTCTCTTGCTGCCATTCAGCCTGCCACACATCGGGAGTATTTTCCCTCATCTCGGTAATGATTCGATAGCGGTATATAAAAGTACATAACTACAGATATACTTAGTAGCTAGATACTTCAGTTTGTCTGATAAATCCGCTACAAAATGCCGTATAAGAAAATATAATCAACATTTCAAAATAATATTTTCTTGTCTTCGTATTTATATATTCATCTTATTATTGTATTATATAATAGCCAATAAGTCAACAGAACATTAACATGGTTGACAAGTGGCAATAATAGGCAATAATATAAAAAATATACAAACGTTACAAACCAATTGACCCTATTGCCTATATTAAAAACAACAAATTAAAACTGTGTATCTTTAAATATCAAACAGAGACCTAGCCATGAACATCCAATTAAAGAACTATTAGAAAGAAAAAAAACATACACCAGAATTCAGTCTTATAGTATTAATAGTAAAAGCTTGCACTTGAAAGTTGAAATTAACAATATGGACGTGAAATGAAGTTATTATTATTAACATTGGCACAACTATAACAATAAAGATGAAATGTAGCCATATGTATATATTTATAAATTAGTGTGTTAAAATGTTGTTACTACGTAGTATTTATATTATAGTTTTTTCACGAAGTAAAAATATTTTAGTTTGCATAAAGGTTACCATTGGTTGCTTGAATAAATAAAATAAAATAATGTAATATTTAAGTTATCACTTATCAGTTATTGTTCAAATGTACAACCAAATGCAATGTCCTTATGTTTGAAGCAATGAAGCTTATATAAGTACAAACTCAAAAATTACTTGACCRACTTTGACTAAAGTTTCAAAAAATTTTATTATGYAGATATCAGAGTATACACAATGTATAAATAGATATAAATTAACACCGGATGATGACATTACGTCGTAATGTAGTATAATTTATTAAAACAAATAATAATGTTATCAATTATAAAATATTTGTAGCTAATCTTAATCTGCAGTTTATAAACGTGTTTGCTAAATAAAACAAAAATTATTAACACTTTATGAAAATGATAAGATACTAATATACATAATAAAATAAACGAACAGAAAAAAGATAGGAATTG